CTTTGGGAAATAAGTATAATTTATCTAAAAAAGTGAATGTATATATGTGCACTCATCCGTATGTGTTCAATATATACATAACATACATATCATACATTTATTTATTTATATAAGAAAAATTAAGTATAATATAGAAAAGTTGAGTGTACAAAACAACAATAGTTAGCGTTATAAGAGATTGAAGAGGTTTCTATACTCAAAGGACTGAATACATACATAAACTTATAGATCTACGCATCACATTTTCAGATACTGTGGTTTGGCATAAATTATAAAATTATATAGGAGTATATAAGTCCCAGCCGAAAAGTATTTTAAACTTCTTGCCTTGATTTTTAACGCTTTTTACAAAATAGTTACGATTGGAGATGATTTGTCTTAAAACACTTGACAAAGTGATAATTTGTAATTGAAAGATGGAAAAAAGTCGTTTTAAGTCACATAATCACTGTATGATAAGACAAAGCTTGACAATGTAACATATTACTCATTAAGTTTGGAAACAATTTATCACAATACAACATATTTTTGCAGATAAGACGAAAGGTAGTACTAAACTAAACTACATCGAGTATTCTTTTTGCTTGCTTGCTATACTGTAGCCGGCTTCCTGGATTATTGAGAATAAATAGTGCATGTAAAACATCGGTTTATGCAGAGACACTTAAGTTGCACTTAAAGCTCATATTAACATCTCAAGCTCATCAAAACATGAATGTAAGATTACCTTAAACAGCGCAACAAATTTTAAAAAATATGTACATATGACATGAGTTCGTAGTAACTGTGATGCCAGATGTTATGTATTGGCTGATAACTTGGGTCTGGTAGTGTGTCGTTAGACCTAGAATGATCGGCGGAATGTTCAGTATAATGCTTTCAAAGGTGGTTTAAATTAGAAACATGCAAGGCAATCCATCATTTTATAAGAGAACTTAACAGTACATAGGTAAAATTTTTTAAATTTGAATGAGCTGAGAGTATTGATATATTGGAGTCATCGCAGTATACAATACTACGAGTATTCTTAATAATGTGAGTAGTACAGAGTACTTATTCTGTTACTGTTGAGCATTTGCAAGCAAGGTTGCCAGCTGAAAATATTTTCTGCACTAAAATTGGTGTGAAAAGGTACCATTTCTGTAAAAATAGTTCAAATTTTTTTTTAATGTGTTTTAATAAAAAAGTACAATGTATTAAAATGCACAGAAGATATAGAACAGTACAAGTCTTTCTATCCATAACAATTTTATTAATTAAATAATCGGACTATCTTTTGCTGACCATACATAGTGTATGTCTTTTTTATAGATATGCATAACATATTATTATTTAACATCTTGAACTCCATTCCGATCGAATACAGTTTTATCTTTTATCTTTTGTAGCCGCAATATTTTTACTAAATCAATACATAATATTATATTAGTCTGCATTATACATATATGTATATGAATTTTCATTTATTTCTGGTCACTGCCATTAGAAATTTTCTTCTGTAAGCATATCACAAAAGAACAACTGCTTATTTTAAAAATAACGTATGAAACAACAACACTACTGACTTATTGAGTCCAATTTTTTTGAAACCGCTTAACTAATAAGCAGCTCAAATCATATGGTTGCCAAGACTAAAAATTTGTCTATTGTGAACGATTTTGGAAGTTTTTTTTTCTATTTATTATTTTACTGTTAAAAGTCATGAATAAATATGTATTATTCTTAATCATATAAAAGAAATTATTCTCAGCAATGATTGCAAAGAATTATTCGTTTTTAAAATTATAACTTTAAATTTGATTACGTGTTTTGAATATATAAGCCTAACAAAATCTCTATTTCGTTCAGAGTTGCCATCGAAAGTAGTGCTTATTTTATTTGTTCTTTTGCGATGTGCTTACAAAAGAAAAGGTTTATTGCTATCTGTAAAAATAGTTACAGCATTACAATTATTATTAGTATTATCGGCTGGGGGTTTTCCTTTTCTTTAGATTGAAACCCATGCAGTGATGTGATTATATAAAATATCTTGTACTTATAACAGTTATAATTAAATACATATTCTTATCAATGTTTTCTAAACAACCTTTTGGTTATTTTTATTTATACACAATGACTATAATCGTCTTAGTTGAAAACTCAGCTCTAACATATATATCATATGTTAGATGCGTCAGACATGGAAACACTTTCTTTGTTTTTTCGTTCTGTTTTTATGAACAGATGTTTAGCATAGTCATTTCCTAAAAACGAGTACCACAGAACCATACGGAAAAATAGTACTAATTTTTGTACTAAAGTACCACATGTGGCAAAAAAAATACTAGTTCTTAGTTTGAAATTTTTGGATTGTGATTGGTTGAGCAAGATTGATGTACACACTTTTCCTCCATCAGTTTTTCTTAGATTTATTAAAGAAGCGAGGAAATGACAGCTAAATCTTCTTAATTGATAAAAATGAAATTAAGTTAATTTCGAAAGTTTTTATACTGACCCAAATTAAGAGAATCATATGTTTTTTGTTTAAAAATTAAATATTAAAACTACATGCTTCAAACACCATTTGTATTCGGAAAATTTTAAAAGTTAATTATTATAAATATAAAGGATATACTTCACAGGACCATTTCTGTAGTCAATCTGTCAATTTAGATTTTAAGTAAAATTCTATAATTTTTGTAAGTGCTGTATGAATTTTTTGAATCAATAAATAATAATAATAATATAAAGGATGACATTTAGTAGTCTTATTAGCTTTAGTGCATTTCAGGCATTTGAATTATTATTTTTCACTCTATTTTAAATTAAGATAAAATTAAGATCTTTGCGAAATTAAGGTGGGTTTGAATATAGTATTAACCTAATATGGTCAATTGACTGAGTGCCTAAGCTATATCACTCTCTTAGTCTTATTAACAATACAAGGATTGTAGTCTATGAAATAATTTTAATGCAAAAAAAAGTTTTTCTGTGGGACTTTTTGTAATGGTTTGCACTCATCTGTTGTCTTTTTTAAAATAAAAATTTTTGTTAAACTATCGGTAAATCAAAAAGTGTGGAAAAGATTCTTCTGATTTTTTTTAGAAAATTAGCAGATTAATATTAATCGTATTGAAACAACATACTTACCCGATTCTATAGGATTTATATGCATATCAAATATTAGACTGATATTTAGTGCTACCAAACAGCACTGTGTGCATATAATTTTCAATCATTTAGAAAGTATAATCACATTTGATATTAAACATTTAATATTTAATATTTAACTTTGCATGAAACAAGCTTACTTGTATCGATTATGTTAACCAGACCTAACAACCTGAGAGTGTACTTTAAACGCGCTTAATTAATAATTAATAGCAATCAATTTACACACAATATTAATAATACTTAAATAATGATAAAGAATTCAACAATTATTTTAAATATATATATTTTTTTTAAATTTAAAAGTTTCATTTGCGTTTAACATCAGGCCTCTTCTTTTGTAAGCATATCGCAAAAGAACAAATAAAGTAAACACAACAATCCATGGCAACTCTGGACAAAATGAAGATTTTATTAGGCTTATTTGTGCAAGACATGTAGTAAAATTTAAAAAAAAATTTCGAAAATGAATAATAATTCTTTCTAATTGGTGAGAATAATTTTTTCTACATGATTGAGAATAATATATAGTTTTTCATGACTTTTAACAGTAAAATAATAAATAGAAAAAGTAATGTATTTGTTACAAACAACGACGACACGAATTACGTATAATTAACAAAATCATTTGTTCCTGGTAAATTTTTTATATATTTCCATAAATCGTTCAGAAAAAGAATTTTTAGTCTTGGCAACCATACGATTTTGGCTGGTTATTAGTTAAGCGGTTTCAAAAAGGTTGGACTAAATAAGCCAACAGTGTTGTTGTTTTAAATGTTATTTTTAAAATAAGCAGTTCTTTTGTGATATACTTAAAAAAGAATAAGCATATTGTAAATTCAGTTACACTTATATGGCGTTTACACTGACCAAAAAAGAGACATTTTAAATGAGTCATTTATGAATTGTAGCTGATTTTTCAACTTCCCCGTTGATTTGATTTTTGGTCTGTGCCAAAAATATGTTGGATGAAGGTTAAATATCCCTCCAAAACTTACAATATGAACTGAAAACTTATTTTTAGCTTCAATTAATTTATTTTTGGGAAGTACAAGTTCCAAAAAAAGGTGCATCATTTTTAAGGAAATGCAATCACCACAGATTTGTTTATCTATTTTTATAAATATGTCAAAGTAGCTTTCTCAAACTGTCAAAATGATATGAAAAACTTTTATTTAGGGTATTCATTTGCATTTATAACATATTTTGAACTCAATCAAACCTCGTTGGAACTCATTTATACAGAATGAGATCCAATGGATCTTATTTGCGCTAGAGATTTTGTGTGCAAAAATGTGTCATTTGCTTCTCACTTTTGATTTATGACCTAAATGAGCCGTTTGAGGCCAGTGTAAATGGCATATTATAATATATGTGATTGGGCAATGAACTTGTGGCAATGCCTTAGGTTATTCTTGAAACATTTTAATGATAATTGGTTGAACTTTTAAGAAAAAGTTTAAACAATTTAGATTGTTTATAATTAGGTATTTATATTAACCGTTAAATTTCAAGAAAAAATTTTTACAAAACATATCTCCAGAATTTTCATTTTTAATATTTTTTTTAGAATCAGTTTCAAATTTTACCAGAAAATAAATATTTTTAGAAAGGGATTATTTTTTGAAATTTTAAAATATTTTTTTTTTTTTGAATACTATGGCCCTTCTCCACAGGTGGGAGATGCAACCAGTGTTGAAACCCATAATAAATTGGTGGAATCAGTGCCTGTTTATAAGAGAAAAAAATATCCTTATGACATAAGAATAGCTGTTTCAGATTTAAGTTTTTAAAAAAGTACAAAGTGGTTATGCAGATATGTCAATTAAGAAGAAAAAAAAAATTGGATGTATTATTTTTTTTAAAAAATAGATTTTTTCTGATAATTTTTATTTGCTTGTGCTTGATTAAAATTAAGAATAGAGGGCACTTTTTTGATCATTCGTTATCAATTGCTCCGCACTAATTGAAGGAGTTGCGTTTGTTCAACAGCTTCGAGTTACATCTGAGACACGCAGAAATAGACAAGTGCTGACATCAACATGGGTTAAGTGAGGTTCCGCAGCGTTTGGCTTTAATTTTTTTTTGGAATACTTAAATTAATCTTTATGCTTACATTTTTTTGGCTTGGCAATTATAATTTCTAGTACTCTTGGATATGTGAAACATCATAAACTAATATTTCTCTGTCCCTGCTGGTGAAATGATATGTGCTTAAATAAATACGATAGAGTTTTCATGAATTCCTTTTTTTTTTTATACTTTGATTGATGGAATAAAGCATTATCATCTGCATTAAATTCAAGAAGCAACCGACATGGACTTAAGTCACTCTCTTGCAGCTGCAATCCGTATTAAATACGTAGTCACACGACATAATCGCTTAATACGCAATATAAATGCGATAATTCCGAAAATGAAATTCTCGTACGGATTTTGCTATTGGCTGCGTTTACTTACCACAGGCTAAGTGCTTAGCTTACATCCGACTAAAGTAGTGCAGCTCATTTGACTGTTGTTGGACAAGTTACCGCATAGCATACTTGTTAAGTTGCCCGGTTGGTCTATCGGTCATTTGGTCTTTCGGTCATTTGGTCGTTTGGTTGTTTGAGCGCTTAATAAACTATGTGCATTTCACCATTTGCGGAGAGAAAGCGGAATTAGGAAGGCAAATAAACTGTTCCAGTGCACACTACGTTAAGTTATGCGTTGTTTGGATGTACGCGGGGTTATTCGTGAATTGCTCATTTAAGTTCATGAAATGCAAGTCATTGTTGCTTTCATCTATATCTCATGTACGCCTGTATGTTAGAAGCGTTTGATCTTTGCAAGTTTAAATGTGAAAAGTTAAAGGCTTGACTAAGCTTTCATTCCGCATAATTGTTGCATGCGGTAAGTGGTTTAGAAGATTTTGAGAGCACATAAAGCCTAATATGATTTAAAAAAGATAAAATTTTAATATTTACTTAAATGCCCACTGAAATTTTAATTTAAACTCACGTACAATGTTAAAGATGACTTGACTGATAAAGTCCATAGCTTTAAATGTGATAACCTAACATGAAATATCAATATGACGCTGTTTTTCACACGCTTAATGCAAATATAAACTCACCCATTATTTCCAAGAACTCTGTCGGTACCAATTAAAACAGTTTCCTCCTTGAAAGGGACCTAGACGAATCTAACACTTCATAATCTCAATAGGCGTTTTGATTCCTTAAATAAGCCTACCCCAAAATGGTTTTGAATAGGTTCACTGACGGCATACTATCGGTAGAGTTACCAAAAGTAACTAGACCGTTTTAGATTTTTGGTTTCAAGCCTACCTTGAAATGGCTATATTTAGTTCACACGTAAAAGAATATGTAAAAAAAAAATAATTAAATGCTAAATAATAAAAATTTGGTGGTTATAGTCTCTTAGTAAACTAGAAGCAAATAATTATTCTTAATTATTTGCGAATAATAACTTCAAAAAAAATACTAATGTACTATTATTAAAATTATTTAAAAGCAATTGGTCGTTAAAGCAATTAATTATTTAAAAATAATAAAATCCTGTTGTTGCAATTCACTTCTATTCAAAACAACTCTTTACTAGACACAATAATAATATAATAGTATTCATTGTTAATAATAGTTAAAATCTAAATAAAATCAACTAAACAAAACTAACGATATTAGCAATTGGATGGCAGGAATACATTAAATGGAGTAACTTTACTAAGCTACTATAAGACCATAAGACCATTACATACATAAAAGTAAAAGACTGAACTTCTATTGACTTACAGCAAGAGTGAAACTATGTAATTAACTACTGAACTATAGTACACTTACACAAAACGTAAAATTTATTGACATCAAACCACAAACCAATCATCATTCTCCCGGGAGTTATGGTTGGGATAACATTTGTGCAACAGCTAAAGCATACGCAGCCATTGGGGCACTAAGTGCTCTTCTGTGTATAAGCCTGACGTAGATCAGCTGTCTTGCCCTCCTCACATTTCGGCGCCTTTCAAATTCACGATCCAAAAAGTATTCTCCAACCTAATAAAGTAAAATAAACGACTGAATATTCTTGAAAATCGATTAATAAAATTTTTCAAAAATTACTAACCATAACAAACGCTTGACAAGCTGCAAAACCGAATAGCACATACTTTATAGCCGACATTGATATTGAGTAAAGTTTTATATAATACCAAAATAAATATATATGATTTTATACACTACTATACATCTGCATACCAGCAGATATATGCAAAATTTTGATCAAATCTGAAAATCGTACTAGAAATTTTGTTTTTTCTCTGCACAAACTTCTTTCTATTAACTATAGTAACTTTTATTGAATTATCTTGAACTAAAATTTTATTTGAAATTTCTCAATGAATATATGACTAAAATATCTTACTATCTTTTCTATTATAAAACTTTTATAATAAATTATATTCAGAATAGTTTACTGGTATTTTATGCAACTGGTGCATTTTTATATGAAGATCTTTGTCTTTTTGTTCTTATGGTAATAATACACAAATTAAAATCAAATTAAAAATATTTAAATGTCTTTGAAATATATAATTATATGCGTATAACAGGATGGAAAGGTTTTACTTTAAGTACTACATCAGCAGAAATTGCTGTATAAGAAGTAAATGCTGTACCGAGCCAGAGGTAATCACAACTTGTCCCAAGATTAAAGCTCTAATCAACACTTTTGGTTTCTACCTATATGGATGAGTACCTTTCTTTATAGCAAGTTAATTACAATAACATAAACCACAACAATAAAAAATCTATTGAAAATATTTTAACTAATTGCTTTTCTGAAAGCTCAGATCTTTCTTACCTTTCATCACATTCTACTATAGTAAAGAGGATTCGAACAGTAGTGAATTGCAATAACAAATTTTTATTATTTTTAATTAATTGAGCTTTCAATGGACCATACTGGTCTTGGAATTATTTCTTATATTAAATTATTTGTTAATAACTTTTTCAATCCTGTAAGTACCAAGGGTTGAAGAAGGGTTACCCTGCCAACTGACTCAAAGCTGTGCTTGAGTTGTATGCTGGAACTAGGAGGTTTGTTAACTTACTCTGAAAGTTCTCATTAAAAAATAGTAGAGTCAAGTTTTTGGTATTGGTTGCACCATCGGTAAAAATTAACCAGCCACTCTACACAGTTATCACAACCTTAAAACTCACAACTAAGTTTATGATTCACAGTCTACACACGATTCATGAATGGTACAAACCTAATCAATATTTATGGACGTGTTAGAATGAACACGTCCATAAAAATCCACGTAAATAAATAATAAATATATCGTTCCTTCGGATAAAAAGAAAATTTCATTAAAAATGTGCCTAAAGAAATACAAAAGTTACACGAGTGATGTGAACTGATTTCCAGTAAAGGTGAGGTCATGACACCAGTACCAATCAAATTTGTTCTGATAATTTGTTGCATTTTCGACCAAAAAATATAGTATAATGCCACACAACCACATGCTTTAGTTAGAATATCTTGCAATTATTTTCCATTATTCATACTTAAAAAAGCAATAAAATAGTAACGCTTACCAATAATAGTTAAGATAAAATTGAAATTGGATGCCGATCTCAAAACTGTGTCTAAAAACACGTATCGATAGTGTTTTTAGAATTTGAAATCTTGCTGGCATAAATACTTAACACCAAGGAGAGATTAAATTCTTTTTAAGTCAATGGAATAAACATTGAAGAGTCAGTAAGATCTAAGGGCTGGAATTGAAAATTGTCGTGACTTTTTAATCATAAACTTTTTTTAATAGAAACTGTTGACTTATTTACTATTGTTAATAGGTGAAGGATTTCAAGAAGTTGAAATTAGTTACTGACATCTGTACTCTAAAATTGAGTTCCTCCTTCCAGTCTCAAGCTTAAGTGTGAACATTTTATTGAAAAATGACTCGATTGTTTCTTCTATTCTATTCCACAATTGAACTACTTCTATTGAACTGTGCATAGAATATTATTTCTGCAGTTTACAATAACTACAATTTTAATGAAATCCAAACTATTTTCCGTTCTATTCACATTTAATTTAGGCCATTAGGACTACAAAACAATATTTAAGACATTATTTTTTTCTATTGAATTTGAAGGTTTGTCTCAATAAGTCTATTCCTAAACAAAATGTATTTAACTTGTTTTAAACAAAAATAATTTTAAAGATTGGTACTAGTCCCGGCTCTTCTGCATCAACAAACATCTACCGGCGTGATGGAGGATGGCGGATCCAACCACGAACGATCCTGGCCTCTTCGACTGCCCGCTCCGTACGGTTAGTTATCGCCCTCTGAAGTAACCTCATGTAAATCGCTTCTCTACAAGCGTTTCTCCTATCATAATAATCCACCAGACGCTCCCCTAACTAGTGAAGTACAATGAGAGTATTGAGCATTTCTAAAGTAATTAACTTGTATATATTCATCAATTTACCACTATAATAGTTGTATACGCGGCCAGTCCAAATAAAACATACCTTATATGTGACATAGTATTTTTTTTTTTAACTACCTGAATATATGTTAGTGATTTATATACCAAAAGTCATGTTGTTTAGTCAGCTTAAAGTTTTGCGGATAAAACTCCAAACGAAATATATGGTGTAATTTTCTTTCTACAGAAATCTAGCTTCAATTGAATTTTTGTTCTGAACGTCAAATTTTTTTCAATATTTCTATGAAAATATGATTTAAATAGATTGTTTATAGAAAATATGATAATTAAACTATCATGTAGTAAATGATTACTATTCAATAAATCAGCATTCTTCCTGCATTCAGTTCAGTGCATTATATGAAATTTTGGGACACACAAGAATTTATTGGTATCCTCGCAAGGAAAATATTTTTCATTTACTTGAACTGCCAAACTCATTTAAATCAATATCTAGTATTTTATGCAGTTCTTAAAACCCAACCATATCATATATTTATATTCGACAACTATAGTGATAGATATCAACAGAGAATCCACCTCTCTGTTTCATTCACTTGCTGTTCCATAAACTTCTCTTATTAAAAACTACTTTTTACTTTTGACTTCAGTTTTCATATCTATTTGGTGTTATGGCAGTCTTATTTATATATATTCGGTTTACTAAACAAATATACACAAACTGAAGAGTTTGTGTATAATTTCGACAGGTAGAATATAACCGAAATGTTCGGAATTGTAGGTTTCGAAGAGAATAAATCACTGCGGTAATGACAGCTCTTTTTTACTGGTTTTACCACTCAGTTTTTAGAATGAGTACGAATATCTTAAGATGAATTTAGCATTTTTTAATAATAGTCGATTTTAGGTGCTACTGATTCATCACTGAACTTTTTTGACTAAATTGAAAACGAAAAGTGACCAGGAATTTAAATGCAGCTCTCTTTTGTGTTATACCAGTTTTGACACCTTATCTTCTCAGTTAGACCAATCATTCTAAGCCAATGAGGTAAGCTACGGCAACTTGTCAGATAATCTACCAAGCTCTGTTCACCACTGGCTTATAATTGTAAGAGTGAACTAGCTCTTAGGCAAGCGTCTACGCAGAGTGTTGAATTAATAGTAATGTCTTCCAATCATGAAACTATTTTTCTATTAAAGACTTAATTATAAACTATTTTATTTCTTAGTACGACTTCGGTCCACAGAACTGATGATTTATGATATCAATTATGACCAAGCACTTAGCAAAGCACTTCCCTGTTTTTGTTTACCTTGAACAATGCTTAGTAGATTGGACGGTGGCAGTTAACATACGGCTTCTATTTGGTTGCCAGTTGCTCTAAGTTCTCAAAGCAAACCTTCCAATAGAGAAAAAGACCTTACAAGCGGAAGGTATTTTGTTTGCTGCTTAAATATTTTTGTATCCTTGTTTGGGGTTGGCTTGAGTGCATAACTTAATTGCATCATTTGAACATGTGTGAAAGTTAATGCAATATTATATATTAAGCGCAGTTGAGATTAAGCGCAAGAACTTTCGATAGTTTTGCAACCGTCACTTTTGACAACAAACTGGAAGTGGCATTAATCAATCCATTGCTGCCTAGACGAAAATCCTTGTGCATAACCATATTTTATTGCTTAATTGAAATTAGCACCAGTGCACAATTCAATTATACTAATCTCTATTCGAAAATAGTGGAATATACACCTAGTTGAAGCGAGATTTTCGTACTGGTGCTATTGATTTCTATACCAAACTATTGATTTTATTGTTATTGAATTGTCAAACCAGTAATATCAAACCAGTAGTATCAGTATGCAATACGATGCTTTTAAATGTTCTGCTTGAGCGAAAATACATAACAAGCACACAACGGAATTACTTTTGATATCAAACTAGGAGTGCTATTATGCAATTCCATGTGAGATCTTCGAATATCAAAATAGGAATGCTATGAGACCTTTGAATATACATGCGATCTATGCTAATGCTGACTACTGCGCCAGCAATCAGTCAGAAATTCAGGAGATGCTGAATACTTATTAATTTTAAATTTAATTTTTAGCTTTTGATTTTGAAATTTTCTTAAACTAAGCTTAAGTGGACTGAACTAGATCTCAGTATGAGTTTCAGGCTACCAGATCACTGCAGCTTTTTTCAAGCTGAAGTATCTATTGGAAGTTTCTGATTGGCTAAAACACAATGTTTTCTCCGTTATTTTTATAAACATGTGTACTGACAGCCAGGCAGCTATAAAATCTTCAAACTCGTCGACCAATAACTCGAGGTTTATATTGAATTGTCTTACATCATTTATGGTGATGGCTGAATATTTTCGGATACGGATTATTTGGATCCCTGGATATAGGAACATCCAAGCCAACTGTATAGCAGATGAATCAACAAGACATGATACGCCAGCACAAGTTCTCCTGGGAAAATAAAACGTGGGTATACCACTTACTTCTTGTGAGCACCGAATAAAATTATGCAGACACCAAATGTTTAAAAGAAGATGGTCAACAGTGACCAACTGCATAAAAACCAAGGAATTTTGGCCAGAATTTAGTAAGAATAGATCGGGGGAATTTGTCAACCTATCCCGAGCAAATTTATCCAAGATAGTGGGAAGATTACGGAACACTGCCCGTTGGGAGGACATGCCGTGAGGTTCAATATCAGAACCTCCTTACATTGTAGACATTGCATGGAGGATGATGAACAGGTATCACCAATACACCTCCTGCTATAGTGTCCTGCAAGACATAGACTCTCCTACTTAGGGTCACACTTTTTCAATTCACTAGGAGAGCTAGACTCTATTTCCA